TTGACAACCTTTTAACTTTTGTTTTTAGTTATTTTAAAATAATTTCTTTTTGAAGTAAACATTAGTAACTAGAAAATATCAAATTAGACTAGAAAATGACAACGATTTAAGTCATGTAAGAGAAAACTTTTCACAACCACATTCATTTGAATATGTAGACAATTACGATTGATGAACATTTAATGACTGCAACAAGTAATTTCACCCTAAATTCGAATCAGTTGCACATACCGATCCAACCAAACATATTCCAACTGCGTCCAGAATACCTGGCAACAGATGTTCTGGACGCAGGACAATTATCTTTAAAAAATGAAGAATTTTGTGTTTTTTGCTTGTGTTCTAATAACAACAATTTGTCACAGCGCACGATTACGTAAGTCCTTTATACTTTTTCATGAGTTCACATGTCTGCTAACAATCAGGGATTTTTAGCGCCCACAATTAAAAAATGCAACAGAAATGAAAACGGCTTCAACGTTTGCTTAAGCAACGCTATCGAAGACGCAGTTAGAAATTTAAACAAATGATACAAAGAAGTAGGTCTGCCAAGTCTGCACCCGTTGCAAATTCCAGCGCTGACCATCGAAGCTGGACAGGGCACCGTGTCCTTCCAGCAAAAGTACAAAAATGTGACAGTGTGGGGTTTTGATAAAATTAACTGCCCCAAAGCTGAGTAAGTACAATTATTATTATTGCTGAAAATTTCTCCAAACCTGTTTTTAGAATCGATTTCGAGAAAAGGACGATTTTTGTTGGTTGCACAACCCCCTTGAATAAAATGGAGTTTTATTATGAAATCAGCGGCAGAATTTTGTTATTGCCGATTTTTGGAAAAGGTCCAGGTTCAATAACACTACGTACGTCAAAGAAAAATTAAATAAAAACGGATATAAAAATATTTTTTTGTAGATGACCTGAATGAAACCTTCACTTTTCACTTTGAAGAGTACGAAAAAAAGAATAAGACGCATTTTAAAGTTGTAAGTACGAAAATTACGATGGAGCCAGGACGGATTACGTTCAATTTGGAAAATTTGTTCAATGGTGATACGAGTAAAGTGTTAGGCGATAATGTTTTGCGAGTTATGAACGAAAACTGGAAGGAAGTTTTTGAGGATGTGAAGGCTAGTTACGAAGATGCTTTTGGACAAGTCTTTGCGGCTTTGTTCAATAATTTGCTAGCTAAGGTTCCAGTGGAGCAAATTTTTGATAACTAATTCGAGAAAACATTATGATGCATTTGACATTGATTATTTATAAACGAAATAAAAAAGGACAGGTCCGAAGTTGTATTTTTTAACATACCTAGTCGAGATCTACAAACGAAATTGTAGAACCACTTAGTTTGAAAGTCACAAGTAAATATTAAGAAGGTTTGAAAATTGCGCTGAGTTTTTCTTTTTTTTATGATAATCATTTGTTTATGAATTTTTATAGTATAAAAGTAGTAACTTTTAAGTATTTTTGCAGTTACACCTTAGCTAAATATTTGTAGTTTTACGTAATCTAACAAAATTTCTAATACAAGAACGAGAGTTGTCTGCAAGATTTTTTCTAACACTAATAACTTATTCGAAATTTTCTTTCTTTAAAATAAATTATTTGAGACGCGTCACAGTATATAAAATGCAAGGATTACTGTGGTAGTCGTGGTACTACAGTAATAACAATAAATTAAAAGAAAAAAATGCGAACACGTTCTAGAAGAAATAAGAAAAACAACAACTCATTGAACATCAGACACAAAAACACAATTGGAATGGAGTTTGTAACTCCGATTGCTACTTGGTGGTTCACTTAAAGAAGGCCAAATCCGGTCCGGAACGTTATTTTATAGTAGTTAAAAAGATTTTATTTCGCGAATTTTAATTTTTTATGACAACCCTTATAAATTAAAATAAAGATATGTGTATGTATATTATAAAATCATGTCTGCTTGGATTATGTCATATTGTTCGTAAGTTTGGATATAGATTGAGTAGATCTGCTTGTATTGCATTATAAACTGCCTAGCAAATTTTCTTTCTATGGGTATCTTGGTTTATATTCCACCGAAATGTTCTATAAATGAATGCATGATGTTCGTTGAATGCCTTTTGGCTCTACATTGTCTGTACAACTCAACACTTATTATTATAGGAGACTTTAATACTCCAGAATTTTTGCAATCCACTCAGATTTATGAAAAAGTAAGGAATCTATGAAATATTAGCGATTTTTTTAAACTTACTCAGTATAACAACATCCTCTATACAGATGATCGTATAGTAAACCTTGTATGTGGTAATTTCAACCTCATACGAGCCGAAGATCCAGCAGTACTAGGAGCATGTGTATCATCCGTCTTTACATGTTATGTTTTCCTTGTGAGAATCAGCGATCAAAATGTATTCACTTCAACAATAATCGTGACTTATAATTTTAAAAGAGCAGCCTTTTTATCTCTTTATTCTGAGCCAACAGTTAATTTCAATTTTGTGGAGAATATAAGATATGTAGATGGAGCTCTTCAGTTATTTTAAGAAAAATTGAATGCAATTTTCTTGTTTGGTACAATAAACAAACAATTACCTTGATAAAGTTAAAATATAAATCTTCTTATGAAAATTTTAAGAGCTGAGTTAAGAAAAAAGTTAAAGAAACATATACCTGTTATTTGAGCAATATCACTTTGAAAAAACAACCCAAAAAATTTTGGAATCTCTTTAAAGTTCGTAATAATAACATTTCATCACTCCCATGTACTATGGCATATGGTGTACATAAATTTCCAATCGGGCGATCGGGGAGAAGAACTGAGTTCTGAAACGAAAGAGTCATCATGTGGGATAAAGGACCAGCAATCCAACTAGCACATTTTTTGAGTACAAGAGGAGATAAACCGTCAGGTCCTGGCGAGAAGTTGATCTTCGACTACAGAGGTTCCAGGTGGTCGATAGATATATACCATTGAAAAGCTTTGGCAGCTGGATACACAGGTTACGCGTATCAGTTCTATGTTGCCGTAGTTTTTACTGCAGCTTGTAACTGAAAACTGTTTGAAAATTGTTCTATTTAACAAGGCATAGACTCCTCCACCACGCGAAGTACGATCCGTACGATAGAGGATGTAGTCGTTTAAACCAATCAAAGAGTCTGGGACAACGGGAGACAGCCATGTTTCAGTTAGCAGAATGCAGGCAGGATTTTTTTCTTGTATATATAGAGTAAGAGGGTCAAGTTTGGTGTACATCACCGAATATTGCGCGATTTTGTTTCGATCATGATACCATGTTTCGACATGGCCAGAAGACCTACGTACTGGTTGCTATGTTGAAAAAATGCCAGATTTGAGTTTCTCAAGAGCTGACTTGTAAACAGGACAAGAATGATCCCAGACCACGTGACTTGTGTCAAATTGTTTGCCTTCTTTGATAGATATTCGAATGCAGTTTATACATTTCAAGTTTTCGGCTACGCAGGCACTTAGTTTATGCTCACAGCTGCTTTTTGTACAGGAAATTTTCTTCTTGCACACGCGGGACGTATGGCCAAAATTGTTGCAATTGAAACAGCGGTTAGCATCTAGTCCGTCAAAAGCCATACAGTAACCGTACCCGGTAAAGAGTCCGCCAGCTGCCATTAATCTGCCATACGATTTTTTATCGACTTGCAGTAGAGCTTGGTACGTAGACCGTTTTTTCTTCGTTACCCAGAAATTTAAAATTGTTGAGCCAACTGATTTGAATCTCAAGTTTTGATCCGAAGATAAACACCCAACCAACATACCGCCGTTTTCTGTACTTTTCATTTTTGCAATCTGGATTTTTTCATTAGCAGGATCGATGGTAGAAGCAGTGTCGGTTTTCGTTTGGGCGAAGTTTTGTTCCGGATTCTTAGGTTCAATTATGACAGCTGGTTTCGTTTTCTTTTTTAATATCGAGGAGAATGAAGTTACAAGTTCCGGCTCCATGAATGTATCTTTTATCTGACGTTCGGCGTTTTTAATCAGATCAGTCTTTAAGTCGGAGAAAACTTCTTTCAGATTGCTAACCATTTCCTCGAATTTTTTCCCGAGAAACGCGTTCAGACAATCGGAATCAAAACTAAAACATTTTTTTAAACAATCCGAACATTTCCAGTTGAGACCTGGAACAGATTCCAGCTAATTTTGCAGGCTTTCGGGTACATCTACACATTTAAAGTGAAAACGCTTTTCGCATGTACCTGAGCAGGATAAATAGGCTGAAGATAGACGAGTTTTGATAGCGCTATGACACGCAAAGAGGTAACATGGTACCTTAGATTTGAAAGAATTGTCGAATGATGGAAATTAAGAAAAAGTATACTCTTTTTTTTGGCAAGCGATTTTTTTTTTTGACCGCTGGCCCAACGAACACCAAAAAACTACTGCGGCTTGGTAGATAACGACAACACCGAAAGAAGATATACGATAAATTGGTAATTAAAATGGAAAGTTCTCACCAGATTGGGATGAGGTGTGGATCACCGACTATTATAAACCAGGTAAAGTGGAGAACTCTCCCTGAATATGCACTTTTGTTAAATATAAATCAAAGGTAAACTTAGAAAAACACTCAGAAACTCGGAGCACGACGTGAACACCGCACCGTGAGCTCGTATATTCGTTTAGTTTACATTTTTGTAAAATATTTTGCGACGATAATTCAAACGAGTTGACATTTATTTTTTTATGAAGTAACATTAGTTGCATACTTCCAATGCGTTGATGCAGGCATTGATGCACGTTTTTTAAAACTGAAGATAAAAGGAATTAAGCCCTTACTTACTTTCATCATTTCAGAGCAGAGTTAAAAAAATGTCTGAGTATACATAAATGTTATATGGTTCGTATATTATTGTTAAACCACTGGTTAAATATTTTAGTTATTAGTGGTAGTCTTTATTTAGATCTACATGTGTAAAATTAGTTGCCTATATTGTAATTTGTTGTTTTTGCGCATTTTTATTTATACAAGTAATGTGAGTAATACATACGAGGTCATCGTTCAGATCGCAGGAATTACCCAGTCTGATTAGCTATAATCCCTGAAAAAGTATGTTTAAGTGAAAGAAAACATGATCCAGTAAAAATAAGTTAGTTTTAATATAAGTAGGTTCAATAAAATATGTCATGTTAACATATGTCCTCTGGATAGTTGATTTACAATCGAGGTAATATTGCTACGTTTTGTTTTTTCTAACCAACAAATTTTTAAAACTTTTACAAAGCGTTTTGACTGTTTACTGTTAGTTTTTCGCATGTAAAGTAAAGATATAATAGGAAATTGTTAAACAAGACCCTTTTCAAAGTAGGTATCATTATTTGTTAAAGTTGGTATCTAAGCAAATACTAGATTACCCAATTAGTGCATAATTTTAAAAATAATTCCTTTTTCGTTCTGAAAATCCAAACAGAACAGAACACAAATGTACCATATGCGCCCAATAGACATATAATAGATAACATTACTTCCAGATGTAGTTAAACATAACATCCAGCACCAGCCTGTTAAAGATGCAGATTCTTGAAGATCCCACTTTAGTGAGTATATTTGTTTACTATATATATACTAACATGTATAAACAACATAAATTACAGAACATTTATTACAATACTCAGACCGGTACTTGCGTGGCCCCAAATGTTCTCTAAAATATCTTATCTTTGGTGATATGACTACGATAATTTATGCTACAACGGATATCGCTAAAGATAATGACTTAAAAATTAAAAAACTAAAGTTGGCGCTGCCTGTCAAGGTTTAGCTGGTACTACTGCTCCCAATTTACCGTAACTTAGTTGACATTGTTTTGAATTTCCCGTATACATTTGATATCACAGCTAACTAATTCGTTTTATTTTTGATCATTTCTTTCTTTTATAGCTATTCCGTAAAAGAAAAGGGACAACGAACAAAGGAAGCGACTATGAAAACCTAATAATAGCTGAATTAATATTATCTTTCATAAATGATGACAAGGTGAAAGACTTTAAAGTATGGTCGAACGATGACAACTTTGGACTCTTCGACGATATCGTTATAGAAATCGAATTCGTTAACGGTAAAATAGATAAATATGCCATGCAAGTCAAGTATTCGAATGATGCACGGATTTTGACGAAAAATAGTTTAACAGAACAGAAAGGAAACTTTAGCATAGAGAAATATCACGCAGATTTCAAAAAATCAAAAATCTCCGATTATAAAATACTTCTTTATACTAATCGAAAATTTGACATTTCTGAAGGATTGGAGATCGACAGGAACATTAAAACTAGTAATTTTAATTTAATCATACAACAAGTGGAAAATAGTACACTAAATTCGGGACGTTGTTTTAAGCTGGCTTCTGAACCACCAGATGCGTTTTTTGACAACTTTTTCTTACTGACAAATCAGACAGACGTTGATGGTATTAGGAAAAATATTGAGGACTATTTTCACCAAAAATTTAACTGCCATGACTACTCGTTTAAAAAATTCATCGATTTTGTTACAGAGTGGAGTAATTTAGAGGGCAAAATGGTGAAATTATGTAAACGTTTGGTACAAACGAAAATAACTCTGATTTTATTATCAGAATTGTACCACCCACTCATCATCAACGGGAGCAACATAACCCCTCACATGAACCTACTAAGAAACATTATCATGAACTGCCACACTATTTCGTTTGTTAAATGTACAGAAAATGTCTTAGTCACACTTTGGAGTGATTTAGAATCTGAATCGGCCAAGCCTCTACTAACAAAATTGTCACGGTTGTACCATATCTCCATAGATAATAATATCTCTATATTGTTATGGCTCATGGGCAACTGTCCACTCATTGTCACACAAAATCCTGTTCTAGTCAAAGCAATAAATTTGTGCCCTGACTTAAATTTCGTAATACTGGATGACTCCGAAGGAACAAAAGTGTCAAATCTCGATGCTAGATTATTAGCCGATGTTGTAACAACCTTCAGATGTTCCCTACAAGGAAAATGCGATATCAGCTTGGAGAATGTGTTCAGGGAGGCTAAACTTATTGAACATATTGCAACCGATGATCTTATCAAAATGGTAGACTCTGTTTGGCACATAGAGGAACTAGAAATTTTGCCTTTTCCATACATTAGTAGATCTTTGTCTAGACATCTTTTTGACTCGGAAGTTCTAGATGGAATAAATTTTGGTTTATCAGGTGAAGCTTTCGTCATCATTACCAGCTACAAGAGATGTACGTGGATGAAATACCAGACCATGAACAGTGACAGCTTTTACGAGGTTGAAGAAGAAAACTGGGAATTTTGCAATGGGAAAGTCATCTTTGTCACTGACAAGGAATATACCAAAGAACAGTTTGACGAAATCTGTAACCTAAATAAAGGTAAACGCGAATATCACCACTTTAGATTAAATGGGCAATATCTGGAGTGGATAAGAAGCAAAGGTGGCATTAGAAAATACAAGAAATTTCTTCGAACGGGTTATGTGTCAGAATTAGATTTAATGCACTGCCAAGATGACAACAAAATTGATATTGTATGTGCCGGACCTGGAATGGGTAAAACCACACTAATGAAAAGTATCAAAAATAACACTTCACCTACATGTTGGACAATTCTAGTCGACACACGAAACCACTGCGGTTATTTTACGAACAAAACGATCTTCATTGAACGCATTCTGTCTGAAATGGATACTTCAGTAAGAAAAATTGTCGAGATTTTATTAAAACAGAAACGGGTTCAGTATATATGGGACGGCTTGGATGAAGTTTCCTCCCAAAATTTATCAAATATTTTGGACTTAATTGAAGAACTGTCTCAGACAAGCGCGAAACAATGGATAACATCACGTAACAACGTAGAACAACTTCTTGAAACACGGTTCAACGTTTTGTCAAGAAGACTAATCAGATTTAACCATGACGATCAAAAAAGATACATCGAACAACGTCTTCAGTGTTCGGAAGTCGATTTAGGTGGTATTTTCCAGAAAATCAAAACGAACATCCACCTACTGCCAACTAACGACATTCTGGGGACTCCCTTACTGATTTATCTTTTGACAGAATTGTTTCATAAAGATCGAGCGATTTATAAAACCAAGACCGAAAAAATTTTCTCAGTTGTCGACCTCTATGAACATTTCGTCGACGAAAAATTCAACATTTACTGCATGGAAAAAGAAAATATTGTTTGCGGGAATGACCTTGTCACTGAGAGAAACGCAGCTTTCAAACGACAACAAATTGAGCTTTACGAAAGAGTGGCTGTCAAAAATTTTGCTTTTGTTGGCATTAATACTGTTTTTCTTAATGGAGATCGGATTGGAATTATGGAGGTTAAAGAGAATAATCGAGTCGAGTTTATTCATAGGTCATTCGCTGAGTACTTTGCAGCTTGCTTTTTGGTGAAAAATCGTGACGCAGTTGTAACATTGCCTGACTTTCTTTGTAACGACAAGTACAATAATGTGAGATTTTTCTTTGATTTGCTGTTGGCTAAAAATTGTCCAGCACATGTGGCTGTGCTTTACAAAAATGTAGACCTACTCTTAAAATGTACCAAGGACGAAGTTGCTCGTAAAGATCAAGCAGGAAGAAACGTACTTCATGTGCTATGTACTTGGGGTGAAAAATTTGAAAGTATTAATGTTCAGAAGACGCCAAATGGATATCAAATTGATGAGTACTCGTTCGCAGCGACTGATATTCCGTGGTGCGATCAAGCCCTAAATACTGTTTGTGAAGTTTGTGATTCTACAACTCCAGACAACTTGTATAAATTTACCGCGCTCGATTATGCATACGAATCTCGCCGTTTAGGTTTATATATCAAATTATTGCGACATGAAGTACAGTTTGAAGACTACGACGACGTGGAAAGAATATGTTGTGTTATATGTCACTGTGTGATTATGGATTTTGTTAAAGTGTTTTTTATTATCAAAAACATTCCCCACATCAGTATCTCCTCTTGCGGAAGTTTGGGAAATCTAGCTGCAGATAATAACTCCTTGAACTGTCTCAAATATTTAGCAGACAAGTGCTATGACGACATCCCTGAATGGACATTAATACTGTGTGCGTTAGGATATTGCGACAGCGTCAAATATTTTATCAACAACTATTCACATATCAACGTTGCAAATGTTGTGTTGATAGCGATTGAAACCCAACAAGTGGATATTCTTCGGTTTTTAATAAACGAGAAAAATGTCGATGTTGATTTATATGACGATTTCTGGTACGGAGGGACCTTATTATATATCTCATCAAAACTCGGCTTGACAAAAAGTGTTCAGTGTTTAATTGATAATAAAGCTGACGTAAACGCTAGAAACAGTATAGGGAGGACACCCCTACATGTTGCCATAACGCCTGAGATCGTCACACTATTGCTTGACAATAACGCCGATGTTAATTTAACCGACAATTTTAACAACACACCACTTCACATAGCTGTGAGTAGAAGAGATGACGTCGCCAGTTCACTATTAAGATGTCAAAGCAATTTGCAAGAGATGCGTGGACGCAGCCCTACTTACAGTCCTTGTCCAATTAACAGTATTGAGATTGTCATGATATTAATACAAAATGGAGCCAATGTCAATCATGTAAATGATAATGGAAACTTACCCATTCACTCGGCGTGTCGTAGTAGAAATAATTCCATTTTTGGCTTCTTGATCGCCAAAGGAGCTGATATAAATGCAGCTAATAACCTCGGAGAAAAACCAATACACTTGAGCTGCGAAGAAGGATGTCTTGATATGGTACACTTGTTGGTGAGACAAGGGTCTAATATAAACTCGGTTACCACGTATGACGAAACCCCATTGGATATGTCGAAGTCGGATCAAATTATTCAGTTCCTAAAAAGTAATGGTGCCATTTCAAATAAAAATTGTAAATAGTGTTAAATTGCATATGCTGTAAATAAAATAGTGTTGGAATAAGGAGGAGAATTTTAATTTATATATTTTTGGGATGTGTGTGATAGGTTGACGAAAAATACACCGACTAGATTTTTACTCAGTACTTCTGGAGACCGGAATTGTAGATTAATATTCACATTAACAATGACAATGGGACAAAAAATTCTCCATTTGGTTCTAGGCTCATCACTCTACTTCCGCCATGCGGTCCCGTGCATAATTTAATTATGCCAACACCCTATCCAGAATTTTAAGCAACAAAGAATTTACATAATATCAAATTATGTATTAATTCAAATTATTACTTAGATCAAAATGAGTTAAACAAAATTGCGTCATGAATCGACTGTAAAATACGTGTAAAACCCTTAGATCATATAATAAATAGATACCAATACTCAAACTGAAAGCTGTGACTAGACATGAAGCTATCTGTTGTCGTTTTCTACGTCAAGGGGAGTAGTATAATGCTATCCTTGTGTGATCACCACATCTTCATCTTTGTTATATGCATTTATCTGTATCTGTCTATTTCACTTCCATCCTTGTATCGCACCAGCACAACAAATCGCTTTTGACAGATGTTTCTTCTAACCTCTCTTTCGAGTTGTTGTACAAAAAACAATTTTAGAATTTAGAACAAAGATCCTATTTTAAGTGATGTAATCATAAAGGATCACAATTTCTTCCCAATAATTTACTATTCCTTTCGTTATCTACTGTGAATTATTTATAAAATCAAGCTGTCAACATCTTTCGTACGAAGTTAGTTCAGACATACTTCCTAAAATTTAGGCGCGCAAAATTCAAATAGTGATCAGGCAAGGATAGCTTCATTGTAATCCCTCCATGCACAAGAGAGACGTGTGACAGGAGGATGTCGTCACAGGCGCTCCTAGGGAAAGAACACGGCGTGTGGTATCTATTTATTATATGATCTAAGGTAAAACCATGTATTGTGGTGTCCCAATTTAAATTCAAATTTCGCGCTGAGGGAAAAAAACAAAGCCGCGAAACTGCATTTGAATAATTTAAATTTGAAAAATAATTTAAGAAAATTGTTGAAGATAGGCAACGATGTGTTGCTAGGGTGGTAGCCCGTCCTAGGGAATTAGTGAATGTCAATCTTTAAGTTGGTAGTTCGCTAAAGGGGGCGGTTGCGGTTAGCAATGTAGAGAATATGCTCTCACTTGCTGTTTGCTATTTTGGTGGGGACTCCTGGTGTAACGGTACCAGGTGAAAATTAAGGGTCATTTAAATTTATTTTGAAGTTTCACAAAATAGCAGTTGTTTACAAAAAAATTAATTATATCGATGGCGATGACATCACAAATTCCCCCACAATTGATTATTATTAATGTTTTCCTAATCTGAATTGTTGTGAAGTTTCATACCCTCGTGGACTCGAAAAATTCTTTAATATTTTCTTACAGATTTAAGAGTTTGTTTCAAGTCTAATTGTTCTCTTGCAGGTCTAATAATATTTTGCGTCTTGAATTGAACATTTATTCTCGACGGCACCACCCTAAAATCTAGCGTTTCCGAGACTAGCTGATTATGAATTTAATCGTATTCAATATGTAATTTTTTGTATGTGATGTGGGAGTTTCGGTCCATGAGCTAATCTATAAATGTGATTTAATGAACTTGAAATAACACATGATTTAACATCGTGTAACTCTTTGTTGTTTAAAATTGTTGCTAAAATGTAGCATAATTTAACATCATGTAAATTATTTGTTGTTTAAAATTGTTGATAAAGTGTGACGTAATTTAACATCATGTAAATTTTTTATTGGTTGAAATTTTTGAGTCTAGCGTATAGTGAACCAAGAGCTATAAGGTTATATGGCCATCATAAAGTCATCCCATTGTGTCGAAGTTAAGTTGTTTACAATAGAAAAGGTTTTAGGGTCGTAAATAACGTGTCCACTGCAGCTCGACCGGCTCTTGTGGTTTCGTTCAGGGGCGGCTTTCACTAAATATGAAAATCCACCACTCCACTATTTCTTTACTACCTGCAGCCGCTGAGGGTTCCGAAATAACCACTCGCTTTGAAAGCCGGCCCTGTTAAATATGAGCAAGAAATGTTTAGAAGATGATTTATTGCCAACCGGTAAGCTTAGTGCGAACCACACAAAGGGGGTATTTATTTACGGTCAACTACTTTTATGATGGCCATATAACCTTATAACTCTTGGTTCACTATAATTCATTTAAGTAATTTTAATACTCGTTCAATCATCATTATAAATTAGAAACACATAGAATTTGAACTTAACTGAAATAAATAGGGTTCTAAAATTTTGTTCACATGTCAAATTTTAGCGGGATGTTTGGGTTACCACGATATCTAAAAGTTTTGGGTGTTTTTACTTAAGTTTTTACATTATCCACACTTGAAAACTTCTCAGTCGAGATTTATAATAGTTCATTCATGAAAACTAGTCTAAAACAATTATTATTATTTTGATCTTGACCGTATTTAATGTGTATTGTGTATTCTATTGTGCCTTATATTTTTTTTTCCTATGTGCTTTCTGCTTTGTATTATGTGATATGAGGATTTGTTGAATCCAACATATAACCTTGATGAACTAATATGGATGTGGTTTAATTATTATTAACTTGAATTAGTGCATAATTTAACCTCATGAATTCCTGTTGTTTGAAATTATTGGTGAAAGTGTGGCGTAATTAAATGTTGCTTGCTTCATTTCTGGTAATTCTAGTGCGCATTCAGCAGAATACACGATTTGTAGTCAAAGCTAGCGATTTTTTTTCTTTGAACAATTGTAAACTTTGCTACACATTTCACGCATTCGCTCAATGGCTGGTTGTTTTGCAATCCAAGGTGGAGCGTATAATATGCGGCAGGTTTTTTGGGAATAAGGATATGATGTGTGTTATACTGGTCAATATAGTAAAATCATTGAGGAAGGGTGACAGATTACGACGAGAAACTTAAATTCCGCTTTCGTTACGTTGTCTCTAGCACATTTGCTGGTTTCTCAACTGCCATAATTTAAATTTGCCACCACACCATGGTAATAACTTGAATATTTGCTTCCAGTTACTTTACTGGCAATTTCTTTTTTTTTCTTTGTACGTTTTTATACAGTGCGTTTTTTAACGGTGTCGTAAAATTGCGTTAGAACCATGAACCATCAAAAAGCCTAATGTCAACTGTGAATTTACAACCAGGACACAAAATTATACGTGTTGACGTAATCGTCAAAATTTCACATTTCGGATCAGAAACTTATCGTTCACTAATTATACTCGTTAAGGGGACCATGGCGTTGAATGCAATTTAATTTTCTTTAAATCCTATGGTAAAATTACAAACAAAATTACTAGTAGGTACATGCCAATTTTTAAACACGTGCTTTCACTGCACCACCAAACAACAAGTGAGGTCAAGAGACTCCCTAAACTACCAACCTAGAGAGTAATACTCGCTAATTACATAAAAACGCTAAAATATTGGTCAGGTTATTTTTAACTATGGCACTTTCCATATTAAGACATAAATAAAGTTAAGTCCATCCAATTTTTCTACGTAGGTTTTCGAAGAGCACTGATAAAATTGTCTGCAACTTATTAAAGTTTTTTGCGTCTATTTACCGTCTAGCCACTTGTCTACAATGCTGTAGACATCCCACATCGATCGCTTGCACCAACTTAAAGCAGGATTTATAGCTATTCCGCATACGGAAACGGGCCCGGATGACGCAACGGAAGAAAGTTCAACATCAAGCATCTTACGTATAAAAAGTCATTACAATAATTACCATCTTCATTCGAATGACTATAGGGCATTACATGACTGAAATGAAACGAAGCCATCCATTCCTCCCTACTTTCCCCTACACTATAAGGGTCAGTGTCACGTAAAAGGTATCATTCTATCAATGAATATCAAAACTTTTATCTTCCGAATTCCTCTAATTTCGAGACAATAATGGTGAGGTCGTGGGCTTAGAACAATAGTCAACTCAACAAATTTTACAGTTTGGAATTGTTTAAAATTTTTGGGACGACACGAACTAACGTTAAAGAAGTTCTAGCTAGAACTGACTCAACTAACTTTGTTTCAGTACATAATTATATTAACGTTAATCAAATTTTATTTTCTCACCTCAATATATATCGGTGGAGTAGTTTCGGAGAATATCTGTCTAATAAAAATTCGAACAGACGACAGACAAACGAAAACGGGGACCTATTTTTTCGCAGTCTAGGAGTCATGAAACTTTGAAAAAACATAAATGTTGCCAGGCGTCCACTGGACTCCATTACAATACTTCTTTAGCTTACGCCCAGGAAGTAATATGCTTTAAAAAGAGATCTTAGCTACTAGCGTTTTTGTAATATGGTTTTAGCTTTTAAATAAGTACATATATCCATTTCAAACTCTACTCGTTTCTTTTATCGAAATTTGTAAAACTGAATAACATGAGAAATTTTGCATTACGTAAATATAAATTAATTTTTTCACAAGATTATGACCTGAGATGCATGCTAGAACTGATTATGCTTTAAGGGCAGGGAATGTTTTATATGAATAACTTCTAAACCTGTAAAGTTTAAAGTAACCAAAATTTACATTTCGTTTTTAGTTTTCTTTTGTCTCTGCTGACGATTATTCAAGTTATACTTAGCCGCCACTTCTCTCAAGCTGTGAATGTATTTTGGCAAGCAAAATTAATTACTTGTTACGCTAATCCAACTATTTGATAATTAAGGATGCTTCTCGCAGTTTCAAGAATTTTCATTGGCTACCACAACACTGAAATTTAAAAGTTATAAAAAAATATAGAAAAAGGTATCGCGAAAGTGTCAAGAAAAACCTCACCTGATTTTCTTCCAGTGTATGACCGTGTTTTTTATTTGCCATTCTTTAACTTCTGTTCACACTTCACTTTTAATCCCTTTAAATCAGTGACCGTAACTTTCCGCTTATTCTTGTCGAAAACAATCGTCAACAGAATTTTTTCCGACCAAATGCGCGAGCCAAGAATAAATATAGAAAACCCGCAATGAATCAAATTTTCTTCCCAAATACACTTTATCTCCTTCACAATCCTAATCCAAGTGCGGTCCAACAATACGCTATAAATTAACAGCGATTAACTTTAATCAAGATAATTGTCACTCTGCACACCAACCTCTAATTACTCAGTTCGACCAAAACTCACCATGAAAATACTCGACCACACACGATTTTCACCACCCCTGAGACAAGTAAGTCACAAGCTTTAAATCTTCATCTTTTAACACCATTTTAGACGTACGTAGCCTTCGGTCCGATCCTTATCACCACCAGTTTGGGAATGACCGAAGGCTTCTCTGCAATCCTGCTGCCGCAACTCAACGCTACCTCTCTTCACATAGACGAAGAAATGTCGTCGTGGATAGCTTCGATGGCGGCGTTACCCATGGCCTTGGGGTGCATTTTGGGAGGGATTCTCATGGAGAAAATTGGCAGGAAGGGTACACATATGCTTACTTGTGTGCCCTGTGTGTTGGGATGGATGGTGCTGTATTTTGCGAACAGTATAGGGATGATTTTGGCTGGGAGGTTCTTGACAGGATTCTGTGTGGGGCTTCTGGGGCCTCCGACGGGGGTGTATATGAGTGAGACATCAGAACCGAAGTATAGGGGATTTCTTTTGGCAGCGATAAGTTTCGCTATAGCACTAGGTAAGCACACGTAAAATTTTATTATTAATGTTCAACAGAATGCTATATGTTATAAGTAAATTTATCTATGTAATAATCCAAACTCTTGCTCAAAATGCACGGCGAACCGCTAAATAAAATATAAATTTAGCCCGAAATGTTATTTAGTGCACTAAAATAATTTTTTCACATTTACAAATATAAATTATTTGGTGATCTTATTAAAGATTTTATAATATCTATATAATGTTAATTTCACAGAGTGTACGTTATTTTGTTGAAAATCTAAAAGTATTAAACAATACATAAAGTACGTTTTTTTAAGTCAACGTCCACAAACACCCTTGACATAGCAAAATAGCAATCTTCAATGTTTAAAAAAATATCCGAAAGTTTGTGTCATAATTATCAAAACTAACTTTTTTATTTCGCTCCATTTGTATCAAAGGTATCAAAACTTACATCTAAAGATGTTGTGTCTTGGAAATAAGCGAAGACCAAATCATGACTCATTTAGACGTTTTGTTTACACCGTTGCCATGGAAACCGCGCCTCTAGTCGCTGTATTTGGCTGGGATCCTTGTGATTTATCATTCCATTCATATTTTTTGGATTTGCATATACAGGGTGACTCAAAAAAATTAATGAATGCGTGAATTTATTTAATTGATTTAATTAAATTTTTTATCAAAATGTATTTGCTCATCTCTCCTAAAAAATTGATGACGTCACGTTAAATGTGTCAAAGTTCGCTACTTCACGATCGATTCCACTCCAATATGCAAGAGAAGAGATCGCCCACTTTTCTTGCTTTAACCAATTTTTGACACGGAATTATTATTGTTCCCAGTTAAAATTGATGAATACGATCTTCTCCGGATTAAACGTAACCAAAAACTATTCTAGCTACCCGCTACCTGTGCCTTAATTAAAAACACCTTTTTTCACTAGCAGCCTGGACGCATGCAAATGTTGACTCATTTAGTGGTAGCAAATTCAACTTTTGCTACCACGGGTTCAAAAAGAAAAATTGAGGTTATGTACGCAATGTTTGATGTGATTATTTCTTAAAAAATGAACAAATGTGTGCTACAAACATTACTTGAGTATACGCATGGTAGTTGGTAGACGGTAGAAGATAAAATGATTAACTCAGCGACAAGTATAAACGGTTTTCTTTGCGTTGAAGATTTAGATCAAGTTTGATTAGAAATCAAAACAAAATCATATTGCGTCAAAAAATTGAACGTTTATTTTTCAGTTTATTGTCTTATGGTTTCTACTAGTGAAAAAAATAGTATATTAACCACGGTTGCAAAGCCACTTCTAGACCTCGCACTTAGAGCCCTCTACGCTGCGCGTCTCGGGTTCTAATTTGCGCTCGGTCTAGAATGCTTGGCTCTGCAACCTTGGCTAATAATATACTATTTGTCAACTCTCTATTTTCCAGGCCTTTTTCTGTCCCACCTCATCGGAACTTTCATCAGCTGGCAAAACACAGCCTTGGCCTGCTGCTCCTTCCCCATCATCTGCATCATCTGCATGATTTTCGCTCCCGAATCGCCCACATGGTTAGCAAAAATGGGCCGAATCGAAGAGGCCAAAGCCGCCTTCCGCTGGTGTCGAGGAGACTGCGACGAAGCCACTAAAGAACTCGACGTCCTAATCAACCGACAAACCCTCCTGAACATAGAAGAAAAGAAGAACTTTCTTGAAATTATCAAAGACTTGCAGAAACCCGAGTTCACCAAACCGCTGGTTATCATAGTGATTTTTTTCATTACCTGCCAGTGGGCTGGTCTTAACGCCATTACTTTCTATTCAGTGTCCATTATCCAGCTAACACTTGGAGGTACATTCGACGAGTACCTAGCAATGTTAATTATAGACACCATCCGCGTTTTCATGTCGATCTTTGCTTGCATCCTTCTAAAGAAATTAGGGAGAAGACCCTTAGCTATTATTAGTGGAACAGGAACTTTCGTATCTCTTTTTATACTTAGTTCTTTTACCTTCGCTGTTAAGTTTTATCCTGGTATATCTGCATATACGTTCGTTCCGTTGATTTCATTGATTACGTATGTGGCGTTTATCACGGTGGGGTTTGTACCGTTACCGTGGACCATGATGGGTGAAGTGTTTCCTCTGGCAAATCGAGGAATGGGAAGTGGGATTTCGGCTCTTTCTGCTTATGTAGCGTTCTTTTCGGTAGTTAAAACTACACCTTCGATGTTTGGACGGTTTGGACCAGAAGGCAGTTTTTTTATTTATGGAATGTTGGCACTTGTTGGTACCATCATTTTGATTTTATTTTTACCCGAAACGAAGGATAAGCCATTGTATCAAATCGAAGACAATTTTAAAAGGAAAAAATAAAGATGTTTACTGTTTATGTGTGAAGGAATTAGATTTTTTTGTAACTTACACAACCACAAAATGTAATAATAATAAGTAATATTTGGTATCATATTTCCAGTAATACTGAAGTCATTTGTTTTGGACTTTAAGACGTCCCTGTAGGAAAAACTAGCATCAAGAAGCTTTTCAGCAACTCCTTTTATCCTCCAAATGTCATATGTACTGGATTTAAAAGGTTGTATGTTCACCTCAGTTACTCCAGAAAACTGTGTCACACCTCTTTCGTACCTGTGTGTAAAACTCTACATGGTTAAGACTAACTCAGAACCTTCCAAGCAGGTTTGTCTGAATAACATGTCACTTCAAATCAGGCATACATGAGGAAATTATTAGTGCAGTAGTAGGTATTAAAATACCCAAATAATAACACTTTCAAGAGATCTTGAATTTAAAAATACCAAAAAGAGATTTAATTCTAAAAGACTGAAATAAAACGGTACGAGTTGCTCCATACTTGTCTGGAGGTCCCAGCATCATTCGTAGCCGTGGTGGATAAACTCATTATGTTTCCAAAGTAATACGAAAATTAAGAAACTTTTCACTACCCCTCGAGTCCAACCCAAATAGAATCGACACCATTTGGTCTTGGTGCTTAAAAGCTGCCCAAAACAGGTATGGAGTGGTATGGACTTCCACTACTGGTTATCGGGCCGACGGATGTTTAGTGTCCGAGGGACTGCTGGACGCTGTTAAGGAATACCCCTTAGGTCCTGGACCTGTGAAGGGCGGTTTCAGGAAGTGAAAGGTAAATTAGAACCGAAAGTGTTCGCTCCATAGCGTCTATTAATACGCAACTAATACAGGTCATAGGGGATGTGACTAGATAGCCAATCGTAGCATAGGTAAGTCTTATCTACGGACACGTACTTAACTAAACGCTAGGCAATAATAAACGAACAGTAAGCGACAATAAACATAAACATTGAGAGATGGGAAATATAAACAATAAACTAGGCGAAGTATAGTGAATCAGGCCGCGAACTCTTATGGTTGGAGTATAAACGTTATACTTAAATAACGGGGGGCGGGGATTGGTAAGTCACGCGTGTTTATTGGTGTCATGGAGCTTAACGCAGGTGGAAGAGTTATTCCAGTCGTTCGTAGTGGATGGGAGTTATGCTCGAGAGCAAAATTTCTGGGCGAGAACTTGCACTGTATGGTATGAGGGTCCCAGGTCAAGGACGTACAAATTAATTTGATACTGGGCCTCGAGGATTTGACGGACGAGCTTCATCGTGCTTACAAAGCAAGGACGCACATGTAACCGATAATCGCGGCATTGCAAGGGCAGAATAATGTTGACCAGCACAATTATCTAGGCCAGTGGTGCAACGAAGTGAATTTTCGCGAGCCGGATACCGGGACGCGTACCGAGAAAGTTGGGGACGAATCCGCGATCGCCGCGTAAACGCGGCTGAAAAAGGGGATTCTTTTTCGAAGCCTTGAAGAGCGAAGTGCTGTGGCGGAGAAAAGAGTTTTAGAAGTGCAGAGCCCTATGAGAACCGTCCACCGTAAGTACCTACGTACCGGTTTTGAATCGCCGCCCCCAAGTGGAAAACCGTACCGCCGTCACCGTCAAAAGTCGAAACCGTCGAGCACGCGTCGTGTTCCGCCACCGCGTTCCTCTTTTGGGTCGCCATACCGTTCCCGCGCAACTTCCCGTTTCAAGGTCGCCGCCCCCAGGTCCAGGAGGAGTCCATCTTCAAGGAAGTCGCCGTCAAGGAGGGAACGACCGTGTCGGACGTTTCATTCTTATTCTTTTTGTTTATTTACTTTGTTTTGTAGTTCTTTAAGATTAGCCGTAAGATTTATTATTATTTTAGCCGTGTAGCCGATTTATTGTAAAATGTTTCTTTCCGAGATCCGTATCTCCGGCTTGAGAGCAACTCCGGTGGCGCCCAAGCAACCGCCCCTCCCGACCGAAGGCGCCACCCCCGGTGGCGTGAAGGCGTCCCCATAAGCCCAGGTCGGCGAGACGTGTTTTTATTTCACCGGCAATAGTCGGCCCCAGGGCTTGACACCGAGGCACGCCCCTCCCACATGTTATCGAAGAAATTCCGGACCGTCACCGTACCGTCCCGCCGGAATTTCGTCGTAGTGGTGACTTACTTGATAAAGCCAACAGATTAAGCAGCGACCTGAAGGTCGGAGTAGATTCGGCGGAGCGGTTTTTCAACCACGTAACGACGGAGGCTGGCGAAAGCTCTTGGAGCTGCTTCTACCTGACGACGGAAATTGGATATCAAGACCCAACTGGGCTCTTAGACGTACCAACCAAATGGCATTCTACTCAACTCCATTAATTCAGTTCTAATGCTAATTTCTATTTATAGGAGTTTCAGGTCGTGAGAACGCGTTGGTGGAGACAAGTTTCCCACACTTTTTAGCTGTTAGCTTGAGCGCCGGTCTCTTGCTGCACCCAGGTCATCTACGATTTTAATTGACACTGAAGATTGGTTGGATATTTTACACCTAGATTTGGCGTTGGCACAAAAAAGTGTGGTTTCTAATCATATAAGATCAAGGAATGTGTTGTAACTTAATTCTTGGACGAAAGTCTAGGTAGACAAGAAACCAAGGTGATTTTAATGATGGGATTTTCGGTCCGCCATACCGCCTGCCGACAGATCGCCAGGCTTATTAAGACTCGAAGTCAAGGTCCACAAGTACCCGTAGAACTCAGGAGCGCGATGCACTGCATCGTACGGTTCTCACAAATCAGCTGTATACATGAAAATGTAAAAACGTCTGACCCGATGCAGAACACTTGTATTCTGGTGAAGCTCTACCTGCGCGTTGGGGAGCTATTCGACTAGTATGATATCTAGACAGAATTAACTCAATAGTTGTGGGGTTGCCATCCACCACCGAATTAGGTAGTCGCTCTTTTCACGTACTTATAAAGGGTTGCAAATCAAAATTGCCCACGTATCTAACAAGCTAAACAACCTCAGCTCCGATGGGTAGCGAGTGAAAAGCGTATCCTGGGACTTTGAGAGCTTAAACAATCTGTGAGGAATTAAAGTCCATGAGGCGGAGCCTTTAAGCAGCGGGTACCTCAAAGTTTGCAAGGCAGTGAGGCTCTGGCAAAGATTTATCAGTACCCCGGGGCGGACTTCAAGCTCCACCGAACGGGTGCCGTCCTCCAATGTTAATCCATTCGAGGGGGTGATGTAAAGTTTCTTCATGATGGTTTTCCCTTCGGTACCGATTACCAGAGATATCATGTCTTTCGCGTCTCTCATTCTGTAGGGTGTGTAGCACCTCTTATGTATGGTTCTGTATAGAACTAGTTGAAATAGTTCAATTTTCAGAGATGCAAATGCCCAATTTTGAGAATGGGCTGATTTATGAAAATGTACAATGTCCGTATGTTCGACAGGTACAGATAAAACACAGATTGAACCTCAATTTACGAAATTTAGCAAATCTTGAGGCTCATACCGTTAGATGAAAAGTTAATCCGTTGGGTGAGAAACTGCACACCTTATTACCATAGCGCCTTTCAGTGCCAGGGCTCTATGAAGGTATAATACTGACTCAGAGAGAGTTCCAGGAAAATTGCACGGTCCAGGCATCAATATGGGAATTAGATCCCTTCTTTCGATCTCGAGTATTAGAAATATGTCCGTTTTTTCCCTAGGGCCTGCTGTGTTGTGCCTCAACAGGCGCATAACAAGTTATATTACTTATGCCCTTCCTGCTTTTGCTCGCGAGTTTACGACAATTCTGTCTAAATCGACATCAAGTCGAAGGCCAAACTACTGGCTTGGATCGCATTACGGACCTGCTGTGTTGTCGTGACCAAATGTTGCAGCATTTGGACCCTAACAAAATTATTTATTTGGGTGTAGCCGCATTTCCTTGGAAATAGAAGAGCTAAACTGCATGTGGAGGAAAAGGTAAAAACTACAATCATTATAAAAAGAAAATGATTAAATATATGTTAGGAAAATGGCAAAAATAAGACATAAAGCTGAACTTACATAACTAAAACATGCATGATTGTAATACTTAGAAACGCTACGCAATTGTGTTCCATTAACAAAAATCTTAAAACCAGCTAAAATAATCCATGAAACTGATTAATATTAATCCTAAAAAATCCACTAATAACTTCATGCGATTAAAAACTTAAGAATAACCTACTAAATTCCTAAATATGTGCGATACCTTCTAAAAATAATAATAATACATGTGTGATAACTAAACTACGAAAACTGCAAGATATGAATTCGAGTAATGCATTTTATCATTTAATAAACTATAACTGGTATTTACACGATAGGTAAGTACTATCAAAACTGCTAAAAACAAAAAAAAAACAATGTGGTGACCGAATTTGAATCAAATTTTCGCGCTGAAATGAATTCACAGCGGCGCGAAATCACATTTGAATAATTTGAATTTGAAAGAAAAAATGCAATCAAAAAATCGTTAAACATAGGCTTGGGGGTAGTTCTGCATGTTTTAGTTAAAGGGCGGTAGTCGGGTTGGTAGACAGAGGGCAGCATGTTGAAAGCGTCAGTCTAGGTGTGTTTTTGTGAATGTAACCACGTGGTACGACCTGGTTTAAATTATTTGGTTTCGTAGTTGATAAAAGGGAAGAAGCTTTTGTTTAACGACAATTAATCGTAACGATGAGATGGCGCCCAGTATTCTCCAATCCGCGCGGCTAATTCTTGCGGCCTTTTAATCGAAAAACATGCGATCTTCCGACGCGGACCACCTGGTGTAATTTGTTTTATTGTTTGTAAATTCACCAATCAAGTTAGTTCTTCTTAACCGTCAGCTAGTGCTAACACCATTTAACACTCAGGATTATTTAAATAAACCACTTGCTAGAAGATTTCATGAAATTCACTTAGTCAGAATAACAATTCTTTATTTAACAAGTTATAAATAAGTTTCTGGATGCATATACGTTAGTGTTACATTATAACACATTTTAATTCTTCACGCAAGATTGCTAATAGTTCATT